TGTTTTGAGTCCAGTGCTTTGTCCTCTAATGGCTCTTTTCATCTTCCTTTGGACATTACATATATGGACTCTAGATCTCCACACAAGTGTCTTGATTTATACTGGAGTTTATTGATAGCGTTACTCATCACCAGGGTCCACAAATTAAGCCGATGCAGAGAGGTTGAGCGGTTTTGATATAATGGAAAACTTTACATTGTCTCCAGTAAGGAATGAGGCTGTCATTCAGACCCACCACACGCTTGGACATCTTGGTTCCTAAACATGAGCCAACATTTAGGGATGTGCTCAGTGTCCACCTGTACCCTGGGGAGCACCTGGGAAAACAATTGTCTTCTGAGCAATGCTGTCGAGATATCTCCTATAGTGGCTACCTAATGGCATCCTTGGTGCACAATCTTCTAGAAAGATAAACAAGATTTCAGTGATTGCACTGCACACCTTTGTGGATTTTGTTTTCTTGTGTGGTGCACAAGTGACATAGGTTCCAAATCCTATTCAGATCTGCTTTTGCTAAGAACAAACACTCTGCTTCTCTTTCAGTCATAGCTTCTGCCGCATTCAAGCTTTACTTCTGTTTCTGGTGAGTCCTTGGCCTCATCTTGAAGTCTTTGGTTCTCCTTCTGGAATCCCTCATTTCACAGTTGTGTCTGTTCCTGAAGTCTGTGCTCAGTAGTCCTCTGTTGCTCCTCCTCCGCTGGGCCTGCTCCTTCTTCACCCTCTTTCTCAGTGAACGATTTCACAGGCTTCTGGTACTTCTTATCTTTCTCTTTCAACAACTGTCCGTGCTTCCTTTTGCAGTCCCTCCAATAGTTTTGCTGTAGCGTGTGCAGCGTCAGCTTTCAGGTGTTCCTCATCAATCTCCCTTACCTGGTCTGTTGCAGAATTTCATCAACCTCTGCCCAGGACCATCTTCAACTAGTAGACCACCAGGGTGGAGGCACGGGGATTAGAAAAGTTAGTAAAGAGCACAAAGATACGAGTGAAAACTATAAAACACAAACAGAATATTACAAGGAGGGAGTTCCAGTGACTATTAAAATCTGCCTGGGTTTAATATTCCATATACTTTTATATGCCAATACCAGAGGGGAAAGAAGACTGCTTTAACATGATACAAAAAACAACTAGAATGGTTATTTGCATCAATACTTTGAGACATCAGGTCATTAAAATTCTGTTGTTGAGTGAGCCCCCACCCCTAGACCAAGTATCCCGAAGGCAGCCACTCCCTAGTCCACACCCTCTATTTCAAAAGAAGGAGCCAAAAATACGCTTGAATTTCCTGACCTTTTGGTCAGGGTGGAGTGGGTCTACCTGCGGGTAAGAAGTTAAGTTGTTAGTCTCAAAAAGCCCTTAGGTTAGGGTGTATAGCCACCTTCATTGTTAATAACAGAGAGCAAACTGAAACTCTCTGACTTCCAGACTAGGTAGAAATAGACTCACAATCCTCCTTAGATGGCAAAGTTTGTTTGCAGAGTTCATAGGCCTGAACCCCTTCCTGGGTTGTCATAGTACTTTTTTTTCAATTCCTGTATCTCCTGCATAAGAAAGAAAACCAAAACCAAGAAACCACCTGAGGATGCCTGTAGTTTGTTTTTGGTATTTTTTTCTTTGTTTCTAAATTGACCCCTAATTCCATTTGGAACACTTGGTCAATAACTTTGAAGGAATTTTCAATGAAGATCTTGATGATACATTTCCCATGAATCGTGTGCAGGTTCCTGGAGGGTTTTCTATGCACAGACGCAGAATTTTTCTTTTTCCTTTTTTTCCCACTCTACTTGTTTTATTGGTTGTATGAGAAAGCTTACTGGGGTGAACAAAGGGAACATTAAAGCTTCAACTGGAACAGTGTCGTGGGGAAAGTAAGAGACATCACTCGACCATCCATGGAGTAACTTCCAGAGGAAAAACAGGTGACTAGAAAAGTGCTCAGAATCATCAGACTGGCTCAGTTTACCTAAACAAGGCTCGTTTCTTTCTGGGAAAATGTATTTTCAGGGCATTTCACAATTTTGATCAGCTTCAGAAAAAATATTACCTTTGTTTCTAAAAGAGGACATCTTTCTTTTCTTTTATTATTATTATTATTATTATTATTATTATTATTATTGAAAAAAAATCTGCCTCCTCCCTGCCTACCATTTCCTTCCCCCTCCCCCCACTCGGATTTGTGTTTGGATAAAAAATTAGAAGGACGTTTCTTTACATCTTCCAGAAATGGAACAGAATATAAGACCTATAAATGTCTTGGAAAATCTGAGATATTTGGCCATAATATAAAAGATATTGTGACTTTAAAATTTTTGAACTTTATTCATTACAGAAAACAGAATGTGTTTGAGTTCATAGAATAATCGTTGTTGTGAAATTTACAAATTTTAGCACATTATTTTCATGCATAATTACTGTTCACATTGAGAGTAAGGACCTTGATATAACTATTTAATAATATTTAAATAAATTCTGATTAGTAATGTTATCATTTAAATGTTTTGTATATTGATTCTCTCACTTGTCAGGAAAGGACAATGTAAATAAAGAAAAAATGAAACATTTTGCATATTACCATGAATTAAGACAGTTATAAATAAAAATTAACCTTTGTATATAGGTTCTAGAATTACATACAGTGTTGCTCACAGGACATGTTTGCTCTGGACTTTGAGCTGATGATTTCCAGCTGAGCAATGCTTGTTACCTAGAAACAAAGTAATGGAATGTTCTCTGATGGCTTATTTGAAATGAAGTGTTTTGTTTATTTAACATATGTCTGCTATTTCAGTTACTTTCAATCTAATGAAAGAGCTTTATTCTGTGAATGGCAAGCATATATTTGGATACATACTTTATAAAACTATTTATGAAAAGATAAAACTATGTGTGAAAAGATTTTCTATTATGTAGTTTGAATTACTGATTGGTACATATAAAAGAATGGAGAACTTAGTTAATCATTAGAAGGAATAATATAAGTATAGTATATGCAAATGACAAGTTAGAAGTTACAACAAATTTTGGCACATATATTTATGACATGTATTATATATACTTATATATTATATAATATGCTTCATCCATGGCAGCTATGTTAAAGTGTAATTCGTCAATGGGATATAGGTTTGTTTCAGTTAATTCCCTTAAATAATGGTAGTTGAATAGTCTCAAAGTGTGTGTGTGTGTGTGTGTGTGTGTGTGTGTGTGT